TTCATTTGCATTATCTGAAGGTAGTATTGGTGAAGCTATTAGCGGAAAAGATGATACATACCTCTTCTTGTGCCTCTTCTATGCATTGTGCTAGACGTTTACTGTCCTCCTAGGCCGGTGTAAGCATAGTGGATGAACCTCGTTGCGCAGTAATGCGTACCCGTAGTCTCTTGTTGTCCTGCACGAAAATCGATTAGGAAAATAGAAACAGGACATGAGTCTGCCGACCTTTTGGAGCTCGCGTGCCAAGTTCTCCATTTTAACTTTAGTCTGGTTAGCCTTCGTCAATTGACTCTTCGCTTTATGAATACAGTGCGAGTATGAGTATTTTGGAACAGAGTGGGTCAACCATACGTACCAGCATCTTTGTCCTTGACCAGTTTCTGTTTTTCCTTTGCATGGTCGCGTTCCAATCGCTTTAGTTCTGCGAACTGCAGTTCTATGATTCAAAAATGCATATATCGGACATGCAAATGATGACGCACGAGCTCAATGTACTTGGCATGGACTGCATTCTCCTCCATGCCTTTGACCGACTTTACAGCTTCTTCAGCTGATGGACACATGAGTGGTGTATAAATTTGAAAGGCAGGACACACGCACCAAATATCTTCTCCTCCTCTTCCTCGAGCACCTCCTCCTCTTCCAGAGCTGCGATCCTGCTCTTCAGAGATTCGTACATGGTAGCAGGATCTACGGGTGTATCGTTCTTTTTCTTTCCTTTCTGATTATGTGTATAAGTCCCATTAACAACGGTGTTATTGGAATGAGGTGGTAGTGTTCGATTTGGAGTGGGTGAATTCGGATGATTAGGAAGAAGCGGAGGCGCGACGGAAGGTGCAGAAGGAGCGAGACCAGTTGGAGGAGGTTTGGCTGGCCGCGAACCTATTGCATTCTGACTGGGAAGGATGCTTGTACCGTTCATAGGTATTTGATCCCCAGACGTCGTGCTGGTGGACCTGCGCGGTCGGCGAGGGATACAAGGTATAAAGAACTTTAGGAAAGCAATGTTTTGAGAACGTAGAGGTTAGCTGAAGGTTTTTTGTTTAGTCAGACCAGATTGCCAGTGATTAACAACAAATTTTCAAAGACGGGATGCACGGAAAGTCATAAACTAGACTGGCGTCTAATAGTAGAGGATGGATGATCAATATTTGCATTTTAACTATAGGCGTACTAGTAATACTGTACCGTAGGCCGAGAGTCAAGACCAAACTCAATGAAATCTAATTTTATTATTTCAAAATTCTACGGAGATTCTAAAAACATATAGCAGAATGTTATAAGATCAAGCTGAAAGAACACTGGATGATCCACGGAACTCACATTCTATTGAGGCTGATGTAATGCCACACGTGATCAATTTTTTAAGACGCGTCGCGTAGATGGCACTTGCTTCAAACGTTCAAACAACCTTGTAACTGTAACAAAATGTATAATCTAGGTGAGACACTTCAAGGGATCTTTATTTTAGGCTTGACATCCGACTTTGCAGATTCTTCTCCCAGTCCACCTAAGAAGAAAATGAGAATGTCTTCTCCGACTTATGACGAACAAGTCGATGACATGAGTCAAGACGATATAAGTGCTTTCGATGCCATTGAGGCACTCCTCTCTCAACCAGCTCCTCCACTTCAAAAAGTACCCCTGCCAACAAATTCGCACCATATGCTCAGCTCCGGCGAAGTTGGAGACTGTGGCAATTCGTCCGATCAGGGCCTACTTTCCTCACAGGACATAGCTTCTCAAGGCGACAACAATCCTTTCGCTCCTGACCCATTCGCTGATTTAAATTCCACGAAGTCAGCCATACTTGCATCTTTTACAAAGACGTCTACCGTTCTCCCTTCAGTAGGCTTCAAGTCTGCATCGGCTTTGCCCATCCAGACTGTGGGCGACTCACACCGTTCACCTTCACCCGAGGTACCTCCAGAAGTCGACTACTCTTCGTGGTTTACTTCGGCTCCTGCAACTTTTGTAGGCTTTCAATCTGCTGCATTTCGCCTTGACAAAGTCAAAGAGAATGTCCTCGAGGCAACTGTCAGTCACAGCACACCTATAGGTTTTACATCCGTCGGCAAAGGAAAACTCATGATCCCGTCAACCGTTGCATTGCGCAAGGCTGAGGAAAAGATTAAACTGTGGCAGGAAGAGGTCAATGATTCAAGCTCCTCCCAACATCCTGGAGGGTTTGCGCCCTCTTCCTCGGCACAGCCATCCTCGCCTCAGCGTACCGTTTTGGGCGCAGTGCATAATTCCTTGTCGCCTCAAGTGCCAGATACGCCGACTCCTGCAATGCCTACTCGCAAGTCGTTTGAGACTGGAGCGAGGTCGACACTTGGCGCACCAACTCTTGGTGTCGGGAACTTCAAGGGAAAGCAGAAACTGTTCAAATCACCTTTGATTGCCTCCGTACCATCACGACAGCCCATCTCTGGGACAGCCAGTTCTACATATGTCAACTCTCCCCTCAATCCTCATCGTCAGGGCTTTGCGTCCGCATCTTCTCGTATGACTCCCTCCATTTCTGCTGTACCAGGAACGCCTGTCCGCCCCCCAGCATCGGCTAATCCTACGGGCGCATTTCGACCATTGGGTCTTACGCCGCGAAATTTACGTGGTGGTCCAGTCAAGAACAAATTCGTGACGCCTTTCAAACCAGGCGTCAAACCTCCAGAATTAAACAATGCGGCGTCAGCGATACCGTCGTCTTCTGCTCCGAGTTCCAGCTTAGAACGACCTATGTATCCCCCCTCAGCAACCCAGTCTCGCAGGCCGATAAGGAAAGCTTTGGAAAAAGGTACAGGCAAAGTGTTCAACCTTGGTAAGTATTTCACTGCCATGATCCACCAGCCAACTTATTACTCTTGTTGTAGTCCCTCCTGCAGGAAGGATTACACTTGCTAGTTCTAATCTTACACCTCAAGCTTACACAACCGCAGAGCTTGAGGACCACGGAATGTCAGTCAGTCAGTTCAACTGCAATACTAGTTACTAACACGCTTCCACATAGAAATGTCACAGAACTATCCCAGATAACACCATCTACCGCTCTCTTTTACTCGTTTTATACGTCATCTGCTACACCAAACGAAGGGGTTCAGCCTTCTGATGCGAAGCCTCTCGGACCTACTGCCGCTCTAGAAGAACTCCACACAAGAGGGTGTTCATTGGCCACACAGGAATGGGTCAATAATCATTGGCCGCTTATCCTCTGGAAGCTCGCTGGAATGGTCTCACTCGAACCAGAAGCAGAGTCCGATCCTGATCGCAAACGATGGTGCTGGCCTGAAGTGATCCGGCAGCTACTCTACAGGTTTGTGTCGTGTCTCTATCCGTTTCTTAACTGACCAACCGCTGCTGCAGATACGAACGAGACTTGAACGGATCGACACGACCACCACTACGACTGATTACTACGAGAGATGCACCTGCTGCATCCCCCATGGTGCTTTGCGTGTCAAATGTGATTCGGTCACCAGCTGGACAGACTGAGGACGGTTGTCCCATTCCTTCTCCTGAATTAGAGGTGACAGACGGATGGTACAGACTACGCGCGAGGGTCGACAAGCCGCTTGCGAGAGCTATCCATAAGGGTCATATTAAGATCGGGAGGAAAATCGCTGTTACTGGAGCCAGGGTAAGTGGCTGGAACTATCTTACACCGTGATATTAATGGACTTTTCGTAAAGCTCTCTGCAGAGCGCAAAGATGGACAAGAAGTTCTCGAGGCATATGATTCGAATATCCTGGTGCTGACAGGCAACTCATCCCATATGGCCCCCTGGCATGCAAAGCTTGGCTTCCAGCGCAGCCCATTCATTGCGACGCTCAACAGCCTCACGGCGGATGGTGGAAATGTAGCTGTTGCAGCTGTCGAAGTTATTAAGGTAGGATGAACATGTAATACCTAGACGTAACTGACTCTAGTTTAAAGATTCATCCCGTCGCATATATTGAGTTCTTCGAAGACGAAAGTGGAAAGCGGATGGAGGGTCCCCGCAGTGCCAAGGATGAAAACACCTTGAGTGAACGATGGAAGGTCAGATAAGGAGCCTTGTACCAAATCTAGTGCTTACATTCTATATCAGAGGAAACGTGAACTCGCTGCCTCAAATATTTGGTCAGATCTTGAAAGACGGGCAGCGTTGATGATGAAGTTTGCAGACAGGCTTGAACAACGTGTGGGTCCGGGCTTCAATGTCAAAAACGAAGGTGAGAAGGCCGTAACCAAAGTTGAATGTTGCTCAAGCGCCACTTCAGAAATGCCAGACAACCTTGATGATTTATATGAATCGTTAGAAGAGAGTGACCGTCATCAAGCCCAGGTGATACTATCCCGACTCAGCCACCTTGAAGCAGGCAGTCTTGCTCTACACATCAGAAAAAAGCTTCTCCGGGACCGCGAAGCTGTCGCGGGAGATATGGAGCGAGAATTGCAGGTAATTTTTATACTTGCATGAAGTTGTTGTTTACTGAGTGCTACCCCAGGACAAATGTCCCCCTCGGGAAGTACGCAATTTCCGTGTTATCGTCGTAAAGGATGCATATACAACTACACGAGGCGACAACGGTGGTCGCAAAGCCCAGCTAACCGTCTGGGACGTACTCAACTTATCGATTGCTGAAGGTTCTCAAGCAGGGGAGTTTAAATTGGGCCAGAAGTTTCTCGTAAGTGATGTGTTTTTTCAGAGGAACAGGTCTAACGACTAAGCCAGGTGACAAATTTGATACCCAAGCAAGTATCTGCTTGGATGGATCGTGGCCCTGGATCTGAAGTGTATCTTGCCACCACAAAGAATTCTAGGTGGAGAAGGTTGCCATGAGCGAACGATTACGCGAGAGTAAGGTTTTTTTATTAGGTGTAGTGTATAGGTTAAGGTGTAATGATATTATATGCTCAAGACCAGCTTCAAAGCTTCACAGGCGACCTCCATTTCGTCGACAGGCTCGCCTGTTGACAATGAGCAAGTTTGTGACACTACACATGGAAGTTTTACTCGGATATGGTGTAAAGGTAACATATCCGCCTCTCAGCAGAAGGTGCGCGGTTGCTCGGGGTTCGATTCCCCGTATCCGAATCATCTTACCTTTTTGATGGCTGTGAGGAATCTCTATGGATCTATCGTTCCTTCGAGATTTATCGATTATACGAATAAATGAACTTCGGAGCAAGACCTAGATCTACGTACAATGATTGTCGACGTGCTCTATGCGCTTTCATCCTCAACTTATCTTAACAATGTGCTTTATGCCTGTCTCAACTGCTGCGGCAGTGCTGCCATCTGCGCCCGAGATCCAACCCAAGTTACTCTCATGGACCCGAACATCGATGGACATTGGATTACTGTTGAAGGTCACGAGTTCGCAACATCCGTGTACTGCTTGCTGGTCACAATGGTGCAATCTTGCAGGAGCCAAGTCAAGATGGCTGGGAATTTCCGACATGCATGAATTGAAAGGAAAAAGTCTGCGTATGTCCAGCATCATCTTGTCGAATAAACATATTCATGGCTTGATCATGGGGCAAGGGAAAACCTCGGGTATATATGCGAAAAGTGTGCCACAGTCGGCGGCAACACATCCAAGTCTGCGGTATTGAAATATATATATAATATTAGGATATTCAGGTTATGTAAACAGAATGTGCATATGTTGAATGATGTACAGTACAGGGTCTGTGAAATGTGTTCGAGCTTGTTGTAGTCGACAAGTGGAAATATGGTAATGAATAACCTCGTTTTCTGAAATGAAATGTAACTATATATGTAGGCATTCACTATATCGAAAATCAACCACCAATCGCATCCTCTTCAAACATCACGTCGTCGAACATCAACGTAGAAAAATGACCTCCTCTCCTGCGAATCGGACCCAGAGAGATGTCGTTTTCTTGTGGCGAGATCTTCTTGCCCTTGGTCCAGAAGGACTTGGAGCACTCATTAATTTTTCGAGAGAGGAAATATGCTGGCCAAGCCGCCCTCCGCCACATAGTAGCTCCAGGCTCGTGGATTGTAGTGTATGGTTGTAAAGCGACAACGACCCACGCCATGGCACAAGTCAGTGACAAAGTCACCCAAACATAGCGCGTGATCGTCTCTAAGGTGCCGGGAGCAATTTCGCGCACGTTCATCCCAAAGACCGACTGTTTAATCAGTGAGCACTTCTGTTCGAGTTATACGTCCGAACACATACAGCAGTTAAACTGGCGGGCAAGAAGACCATGCTCAGGTACGATATCTGCAGAAGGCATGAGCTCTGTCAGTTGCACATGTAGCTGCTAGCGCACTAGTTTCATCGCCGCAGAGTCTCGAAGGGTCGCCATCGTTAACTTGTGTGTTTGACGACTGTCCTCAATGTTTACAGTCGCGTACGCTAAATCTGTAGCATTCTTCAATCGACCGAGGAGCATCGAGCACCTCCTGCGCAATCTGTCGATTTCGGAAAGGAGGTTCTTGCATTCTCGCCGCAACAGCTCTTCTGCAGTATCCCTATTGTCTGACTCTTCCATTGCAGGGTTTGGAGTCTCCATAACAAATTTGACCGATTTCTCGAAATCATGAAGGAGGGTTTCGTAGTGGAGTAGATGCGCTGCAAGGCTGTGGAGACAATGGTTGAGGTCGGCCATAGCAGTGAAGTCGTAGGCATTCAAGATTACCTCCTGGGCATGATGAGCCAGCCTCGCCCACAACTCGAACAGATTGCATACTTACCAAATCCTTGATACTGTTATACAGCACTTCAAATGTCTCATCCCACGTATACAGCGCGTACCACAAGATTACCAGAAAGAAAAAGGTCGGATCTTCAGATGCCACGAATATTTTATTCCAGTAGGCACTTCCACCTGCGCGCTCCACAACCTGATACAAGCACTCGGCGGTAGTGCGATCACGCTGTGCAGAATGATGCGTTATGATTGTAGAAGAATTCTTATCGCGAATCATATGAACTGCCAGAAGGTCGATGAGAAGAATATGGTCGCCTATGAAAGGACTCAGACGAAATCGTGATACAAGCAAGTACAGATTACCGTGTAGGTTGAGGGGTGCCATGACATCTATATGATTTTTCCTTTCATTCTGTTCTGTACATTTTGTGATGAGAAGCAGCTGACTATTGAACAGATGACGAACTCGTGTCCGATAAGTTTGACGTCCTGTTTTTCTTCTCGATGGTCTGAATAAAAGGAAGGATAACAGTGATATCTACCCAAAACAGATTAACGACCACTAGACCAAGAGGCAATCATGAGGCATACGATCCCCCACACCATGTCGAACGCCTTCTTGGTATCGCGAAGGAATCCAGTTTGTGGAGGATGAAAAGAAGAATGGCTCAATGTTATACCTACGAAAGAAGATTTCAGTACCGAAGTAGAAGTACTAGAAGTTGGAATACAAACTTCGTTCCCAATATCTTCAAAACGGATTCCGACAAGTTATCCACGAATAAAGCTCGAACGCGGACGTTCTTCCGAACCTGATTGTGGTCATGATCATGATCACTTGTTGGTTTGGCGAGATGGAGTAAAAACAATACTTTCCTCCTCCTCCAATTGCGACCAGAATTCGTTTTCCTTCTCTTCTGACACTTCGACGCGATACAGCCCTTGCCCGCGTTTTTTGAATTGACCGTCGCCCGTTACGTCAATGCTATATATGACACATGGTTTCACGCCAGTGTGTGCACATTGTGTCAATATCTTGCTTCGTGCCACTGGAATTGGACTCCAGTTTACAAAACGTTCTTGCGGGTATCTGCGCCATTCGTGTTCGCCCTTTCGAAATGGCTGCTCAAAAGATGAAAGGTCAGTTTTGAAATCTACCCAAGGCCATGGTCCTGAGGGTGCTGCATGACGATACCTGAACGAAATCAAGAGGATATATCTTCCTGAATATTTGAGAGGCGGAAAGATGAGAACTAGGCTTACACTGGTACTGGAATTGAACTCGTGTGCGAGTCTACCGCCGTACTTGATGTATGTGTGTTGCTGTATGACATGCCAGGGAATTTGTAGCGTAGGTCTACTTGGTTTGTGTCCACTGGGTGCATGGACGAAATGTTATTAAAACACCCATTCACTAGTAGCGCCGGCGTTTAGTCCAGTAGGCACAGCGGTATACCGCAGATGAAACCTCATTGTTGCGGTGCCTACTTCCTCCATTCACGGTCGAGGCTTTCGGATTTCCAAAGTACTGAATCGAATCAATCGATTACTGGTCCTAATTATGAGTGGAGCAGTATGAGGTGCGGGCCGGTGGGTGCTACTAAATACGATCTGAACTAGTTACGCAGTAGTAATCATTATTCGGAGTTTAACTTGCTTGACCTAGTTAAATCAATTAGCAACACCGGTCACATCCAGTTTAACTTTATTTATACCAGGGTAATTAGACGAGCGTGCTCGTTAGCAGTCTTGTCCTTCGGGCCTCTGTTGTTCAGGGCCAAGTGCATCATTTGACATGACTAATAATTTGTCACACGCAATCCTCATTGTCACCTCCTTTCGTGGAGATGGGTTGCGCTCCTGTACCTCTTCTCGCTCGAATCATTCGTCTCGATAGTAAAATGTTGTGCACCCGCTTGTTCTTTTCCCATAGCGTTGTACTATAGGTACTCGAGTCTTGTTTGAGCCTATTTGTGCTTAGAATCCACGGGTCCTCTTGTCCTCGCAGTGGGGTCCTCTGTTTGCTGATGCGAAATCACTGCTTCTGCCTTGGTCCGCATTCCCAACTCCCACAGGAGGATTACGCAAACCAGCTGCAGGAATCTGGCTGCCATTAGTTTCAGGAATCAAAACTAGCGCCGGTGTTGCTTACTCGTGGGTTCTGTGATCTATTTTTCATTCACTGAGTAGTAGACGAGTTTGTTGTAAACGACAGTCCGTGGAACAAGTCAGCTCACTATTGAGAAGTCAGCTGCAGCAATATAAATTATCCTCCACATTGACGATCTGGATTCTTCGAGCTTAGCTTTCGTTGAGCTCGACATCGTTGTTAAGTTATTCCTCTAACTAGCCAAAGTAACGGGTTGGGGTACCACCATCACGAATGTGATAGTTTCGGAAGTCCTCGATTCTTCATTGCCTTCATAGCCACTAGTAACAGAACGATATTCTCCTGTATTTGGTCGGAACACGGTTAGCGATTGTCACAAGGTACGTACTTGTCCAATCACAGCTAGACTAGTTTTATCACCCAGTGACATGATCCGAAATCAGAATTGATTTTAAACATGACTCACTTGCCTCTTGTTAGCTCCAAGCGTTGTAGTGAGCGGCCTCAAAGAAGCGATGAAAGACTCATATGGACGGATCCCAACTGGGGTCACACCAGCATACGAAAGCTAGAGATTTTTCTAAATAGGTGTGACAGCGGCCTGCAATTACCGGGGCTGAAGTCAATATCTGTGCCACGAAAGTTAAAAAGTCACGCGACTTCGTCAAGGAGGGTAACGACCAAGGCAGCAGTTTTTTCGATCTAGACGATACCTGTCAAGCTGCTGAGAAGCTTGAAAGGAGTATCTCCCATCTGGGAAGAGGAAAGCATCTTGAAGATGATAGCGCACCCTATATGACTCTTATATCAGATATAGTCAACCTGAGATCATGTCATCTTCTCACCGGCTGAACCATCGAAACCTGAAATGAATGCCTTACGTTCGTCCGAGTGTACAGAATACTCACCCAAAACTTTGAAACAAGGAAGGTTCAGCCGTATATTGTGTGTGCCTATGCTGGGACTGTGGTATTGGCAGTGAGGTAGAAGATGCGACATTGTGAATCGCCACCGGCGACTTCGAGACATTCAAATAGATAGCATCCCGTGAACGGACAGCAGAAACGTGAGCAGAGCCTTGCGCCCGACATTTTTCAAAGGTGGTTTTTGCAGGAAAGAAAGTCGGCTTGGGAAAAGATTACAGTTCCGCCCTTGGTGACAAATCGCCCTCAGGGAAAGATCAATGCTCGGGTCCAAGGGTCGCATGATGGTAGGGAAAAGGTTGCGACTAGGAAGCCGCCCAGGGAAGTTTCTCACCAAGTTGTTGAATGTATTAACGCCTATGGAAGTTACGGGAAATA